GCCCTGTTCCTTGTTCATTTTCTTCATTTTCATCCTTCGGTTCTGAAACCAGATTTTGACTTGTCTCTCACTCAGGTTGAGGAGTCTGGCCACTTCGTGTCTACGGTCCCTCGTCAGGTACATATTGAATAAAAACTCCTTCTCTAGTTCCAGGGTCTGGTATTTGGTGTAAGGGCATCTTTTTTTCCTGGAGGAACGGGCGTGAAGCCAGCTGGCAGCTGGGTTGGCTGAAAGAAAAGCACCAAGATCAATACGATGCAGCTTGAGTGTTTCTCAGAAGGTTTTAATCATGCCATCAAATATTAAGATTACACATCCGCGGGTGCACGCCCGGGTGAAAAATACTCCCTGCCATGGGAGCGAGCAGCAGAGGCCGCCCAAAAACCCTACGGGAGAGCACATGGAAGGGGGGGGGTGCACCCCGAAATCCCACTTGCACCTCGCTCCCCCCTTTCCTGAGCGTGGGGAGGGTCTGGGACCCGCGGATCTGCGGTGCTTGCACACCCAGGCTCGTGCCCGTGCACACGCGTGGCTTTGCACACGCATGTGCCCCGTGCACACGTGCCAGGGCCAGAGCTCCCCCCCTTTTGCCCAGCTCCATCTATGCCAGGTAAACACCCCCATCCACTTCCAGATTTGCATAACGCCCATCTGCGCCTTACGCGCCAGCCATACAAAGAAACCGAGGCCAAAAAAATTAAGATATAAAACTATTTCCTTCTATTTTTTTTTTTTCCCCAGACGATTTTTCCCACGTGTCACCAGATTTGCACCCCCAGACACATCGCCCAGGAAAAAAAAAAAAGCAGAGAGAGAGGAGGTCTGGTGAATCCTTGCAGAAATCCAGCTCCTATTTTTTTTTTGCTATGTGGCAAGAAACGTTCTCGATACAATAAACATCCTCTGAGGGCTGGCTGGACCCTGCTGCCGGAGATCTGGACAGTGTTACCCAGAGACACGGACATTCGCAGAGCTGCAAAGGCAGCCAAAAATAAATAACAGGCTGCCCGAACCCCTCGCGTGGGGGAGAAGTTACGTGGGAATTTTTTGCGAGAAGGACATTTCAGGAATTAGCCTGTTCAAAGGGGCGAGGGGGGGGGAGGGCGGGGGGTAA